ACTCAGCCTTCCATCCTTCCGAGGTGGGTCAAATGAGGAGTCAGATTGTTGGGGGCAAGAGGCTGACTCCGTGAACTGCTTAGAGAGGGCTGTAAAAGCACTATAAAGCAGTATATAAGTCTAAGTGCTATTGTGAAGGGAGGGAGGGACGGATAGAGGGAAGGAAGGAAGGAGTCAGGGTGGCACGGTGGTCAGAATGCAGTACTGCAGGCTAACTCACTGCTCACTTCCAGGAGTTCGATTCTGACCAGCTCAAAGTTGACTCAGCCTTCCATCCTTCCGAGGTGCGTCAAATGAGGACCCAGATTGTTGGGGGCAAGAGGCTGACTCTGTAAACCGCTTTGAGAGGGCTATAAAGCACTGTGAAGCGGTATATAGGTCTAAGTGCTATTTCTGCTATTGCTATCCGTAACCACTTGTTGACAAAGCCATCGTGACCTCTTTTTTTTGTATCCTTAGCTACACCTCAACAAGAAAGATATATGGTTGCTGCAAATAGGTAGATCTCCTGCTATTCTGAGGCAGAGAACATATGAAAACGATGATATATACACTCTAAAATAGCCTCAATGATGGCTACATTGGTATAACGCCCTCAACCTTATTACTGAGTTGAATCCATTTCCTGGCTTTGCACAATATTCTGAATCATACAGGTTAAGCAAACAGTCAGCCAAACAAATTGCTACCCCCGAATAATCAGGATAAAACTAACTGAGCTTTGCCCATTGTACAAATGTAGGGCTTCATTGAGCATAGAACTGACTTGATTAAGCATGTTGTGTCAGCAGGCCCAATATTAACAAAGACAAAACCATAATTTAGCCCAAGTTCCATCACTTTTTAGTCCACTTCACTTCTGTTTTTTCCCCTTCTGTTAATTTCAGTGTTACATCTGTCTGTTAAAAGCTTTCCTGCCTTTGGTTATGACTTTGCCTAATCCAACACTGGCTTTTTAGTTTAATACATCTCAATGCTTTATAAAAGTTATAACAGTTATAACTTTTAACGGTTCATTTAGTGACCGTTTGAAGTTATAATGGCACTGAAAAATGACCATTTTTCACACTTTAAGGATGGAAGGCTGAGTCAACCTTGAGCCTGGTGAGATTCAAACTGCCAAATTTCAGGCAGCTGGCAGTCAGCAGAAGTAGCCTGCAGTACTGCCTTCCAAAAACTGTGCCATCGTAAGATGGGGCAAAGCTCACAACAAATTTCTCACTTAACAACATAAACTTTGGGCTCAATTGTGGTCGTAAGTCGAGGACTACCTGTAGTCTTTGATATACCGCCATAATGGAGCCTGCCCATTGTTGTCCTATATTATAATGGTGGCTTGGTGATGGTTGTTAATACGGCAGTCATTAAGCGAACCAGTGGTTTGCAATGGGCAGAGTTTTGGTAAAGGCTGGAAATAAGTCCTAGTTTTCAACAAAATCATCGTAAAATACGGTGCTCTGAGTGTAGGGCACTCCATATTGTCAAGTATCCAAAGTTCAACCTTGTCACCACAAAGAGAGCTGGACTGTCCGAACTTCGAATCCTGGTCATAAGACTTCTTTCTTTTGGGCCACTCATAGGTAGTCCTCGACTTACAACAGTTCGTTTAGTGACTGTTCGAAATCACAACTTATGGCCGTTTTTCAACTTACAACCATTGCAGCATCCATCCCCACGGTCACCCGTTCAAAATTCAGCAGCTGGTTCACATTTACGATGGCCGCCGTGTTCCGGGGTCAAGCGATCCCCTTTTGCGACCTTCTGCCAAGCAAAGGTAGCCAGGTTCACTTAAGAACCATGGCAAGAGAAGTCGTTAAACGGGGCAACAGTCGCTTAACAAACGCCTCGCTTAACAACGTAAATTCTGGGCTCAATTGTGGTCGTAAGTCGAGGACTAGCTCTATGTGGATCAATGGTATAGCTTGTAGTGCTGACAAAGACATATGAATTTTCCGCCCAGGCTTTCTAATATTTGCAGTCTGGGGCATGGTATTCAGAGCAGCGACCCTTTACAATTTTAAAACACAACTGCCCAAGTGCAGTACCCCAGGATTGTGATGGATGCAAGCAAATTTGTGTGCAACTAACCGGAGCTCCATTAGGAACAACAAAGCAGGCATTGTGATGTTCACGCTGCCGGCAGAGAGCCTTTTTGTACGTGGGTTGTGATGTGGCACACAAATATGTTCAGGGAGTAGTCTTTTCATTATGTGGCATGTCTGCTCCCTTGTCCTATCTTGCTCCCTCACAGACGTGTGTCAAGGCAAGAGAGAATTCCACAGCTATTTTTTTTCCCTCAGGATTTCTGCCAGGGTGGGTTCAGTTTAGGAAGGAAGACCGGCCCTATTCCAGAGTGGGCTTCCAAAATTTTAGCAACCGGTTCTCTGTCCGGTTGCTGGGTGGGTGTGGCTATGGGTGGGTGTGGCCTGGTCGGCCTCCATCACGGTGGGGGAGCCGTTTTCACCCTCCCCGGGCTCCGGAGGCTTTCCTCGAGCTTCCGGAAGGGTGTAAACAGCCTCCCCGGGCTCGGGAGGCCTTCTAGAACTTCCATGAGGAAACCCTCTGGAGGCTGGAAATGGGCCCATTTCCGGCCTTCCGGAACTTCCAAGAAGCCCGTTTTTCACTCTCCTCGAGCCTTCGCACGGCCCCTGTACTCACCTGGCATCCACAACAGGCCACGGGGGGACTCCTGGGATGGGGTAGGATTTATCTGTTCACCGAACCGGCCCCCAAAATTAGCTACCTCTTGGCCTGAACTGGGGAGAAAACCAGTAGCAGCCCACCCCTGCCCTATTCCCTTTGACGGTTTGTCACGGCACTGCCATGCCTTGCCACCCTAGTTTTCCTCCCCCTGGCACGGCATAGCCTTTCCTTCTCCCCCACCCCTGTGAAACTGCCCGAAGTCATTCTTAAGTGGTGTGCCATTAGCGCTTTACAATGTGCAATACCTGTCACGGTTTGCCACCCATTACCTGGGAGGTAAGGTGAGGAAACCTGTTGCGGGCATGACCGCAGAAGTGTTTGGGGCGTGTTGAGAGCATCCTTTCCCTTGTAGCCTGTTGTAGGTGTTCGTTTCCTCCACCAGCACTTGGGTTTCTAAATTCTTTCCATATTTGTCACCTGTTCCCTAATTCTAGATCTCCACTGTTTTATTCGGAGAAGTTTTTTGGAAAAGTGGCTAGGAGAAGAAGGATTGCAGGGTCCAATTTGGAGCGGTCACCGGGACCCCAGAGGTCTTGGACTTGTGCTGAAGGGACTTCTCATTGCCACGTTCTGGCGAGGGAGAAGTTCCCTGAAGATGGGCTCCGATACAAGTCCGAAAGTCCAGAAGACTAAACCTCGGGTTCCTTTTGTCTTTCCCGAACCAACATTCACCTCTTTTCACTCAGCCATTACATTTATTCAAATAATTGTTGAGCTGGTTGATGAAACCAGACCTGATTTTCTCTCCTTCCCAGAAAGTAAGAGCCAAGTTCCTCAGGGCAGGGATCTCCAACCTTGGCAACTTTAAGACACGTGGACTTCAACTCCCAGAATTCCCCAGTCAGCTCTGTGGAATTCTGGGAGTTGAAGCCCACAAGTCTTAAAATTGCCAAGGTTAACAATCAGAGTTCGAAGAGACCTTATAGGTCATCTAGTCCAACCCCCACACCCAAGCAGGAGACCCTACACCATTTCTCCCATAACTTCCGAGGGCAAGCTATTCAATGCATTGGTTGATTGTTCTCACTGTCAGAAAGTTTCTCCTTATTTCCAGGTTGAATCTCTCCTTGTTCAGTTTCCTTCCATTATTCCTTGTCTGGCCTTCGGGTGCTTTGGAGAATAGCTTGACCCCCCCGCCCCTCTGTGGCAGCCCATCAAATATTGGAACACTGCCAGGGGTGGGATTCTACCAGTTTGCACCTATTCGCTAGAACTGGTTGTTAACATTCTAAGCAGTTCAGAGAACCGGTTGTTAGAAGAAATTACTGGCCTAATCCTGTAAGGAAGGCAGGAAGGAAACATTCTGGTGTTGCTTACAGAAACTGCCTCTCCGTTAACCCTTATTACATTCTTGGCAGGACTAGACTTCCTGTCTCAGGAACTTCTCTGGAGTTTTTTCCCCCTCCTTTGCTGGTACTTTACTTGTGTGGAGTGACCATTCAAAGTTACAATGGCGCTGAAAAAAGTGACTTATGACCATTTTTCATACTTACGACTGTTGCAGCATCCCCATAGTCACGAGAGGCCAGGCGAGGAGATGCGTGCCTCGATGTGAGTGATATTGAGTTGGCCATGCCCAACCAATAACAGGACCACCAAGCCACTCCCAACAACTTAGCCACACCCACAGAACCGGTCATTTAAAAATTTGAATCCCACCCCTGAACACTGCTATCATGTCTCCCCTTGTCCTTCTCTACCCTGGACCAGCCATGCCCAGTTCCTGCAACTGTTTATCGTATGTTTTAGCCTCCAGTCCCCTCATCATCCTGGTTGGAGACCCCCTGCCTTAGAGTATTCAAATCCCTCCTTGCCACAACCAGCCCTGGCCAATTAGTTTCTGCCTCTCCTGGTTTATTATATAATGTCAGTACAATCGCAGCAGTCCACTCATCAATTTATAAGACACACTCCAGATTTCTCAGTGGTTTGTTTGCAGCCGATAAGAAAGCAAGGAGAAAAACCACCATTGGCATGGAATAATAGCTGTTGGTTTAAGATTTTAGATTGACTTTATCTCTCTCTCTCTCTCTCTCTCTCTCTCTGTTAGCACAGTGAGCCAAAATAGGGGATTCTTTAAGAAGCAGAAAACAAAACACCCAGCAAGCTGGTGGGAAGATCCGAGCATCCAAGCACTGCCGAGTGCCGGCATAACGTCAAGCGGTTGTCGGTACAGGTGGACATCAGGGCCGGGTGCCAAATTCTTTGGGTTTAAAGGAAGCAGTGGGAGGGAAACTTGCGAACCGCTCCTAGAAGGGTTTAACTTTCCTCTAGCAAATGAGAAGGAGAAGCTACAACATTCTGTTCCAACCACTCCGGCGAGAATGTCTTTTTGGCAGAGGTGTTATTAAAACCGAGCAGCACGTTTTATGGTTGCCAGCACCAGAGGAAAAAGGGGAGAGAGAGAGAAAAAAAAGAATTAGCCAGGTAGGTTGATTAAGCCTCGTTCTTCCTGGGTCTGCTGTTTTTTTTCCTTTTTCTGAAAGCGGTTTATTATTTTCAGAGCTTCCCGGTTTTATTTAATCAGGCGGAAGAATCCTGCCTTCTCAAGGCAGAGTTAATGTGGTTAATTAAGGAAAAGTAATGTTCCCACCCTGCTTGGAGAGCTGCAGTTTGTTTTAGTGGGGTTCTTCCCCCCCACCACCCTTTCCTCTTACAGCTTATTACCTTCTGTGTCTTTTATTAATCGCTGTTTGAAGGAGAAGCTTTTCTCTCCGTGTTTTATTTTTTTAAAGCAAAGTCTCCAGAATCTTCCTGAAATGTTGGAATTTGGAATGAAAATTTTTCTCTCCCCGTCTCACTTGTTGCACAGATTTTATTCAGCTGTACTGGAGATTTTATTTTGATTTGCTGGGGGGGCGGGGGGAAGCGTGGCATTGAAATGTCATGTGTTGCCATCAGCTGATGATGATTTGGGGCAGATTTGATTGTTTGTCTGTGCCAGCTATGCTTAAGAAGGTGGAGGTTCCTGATTTTATTTCCTGAGATTGGGGAATGGATAAATCTGCCGAAGACTTCGCCTTGTTTGCCAATGCATGAATCAACCGTCATAGCGAGGAAAGAAGGGGAAAAGTTTTTTTTTTTTGAAAGTGCAATACTTTAGCTTCAGTTTCACCCCTGAAAGTGCTTTGTTTTTCTTTGGAGAACTTTCGCTTCTCATCCAAGATCCTGTTTTCAATTCAGCCTTCCGTCAGAACTGAAGAAGCTTCTTGAATGAGAAGCGAAACATCTGCGAGGAAAAACAAAGTCAGTCCAGTTGCCACTTGAGAAAAAAAAAAAAGCTGGATGACCGAGAATCTCCACAGACGCTTCAGTTTCACTGTTGCTAAAAGCTAAAAGATCCCCTGGTGCTTAAGATGTATGTCATAATTTGCAGATGCTATTTGGAACTAGGAAAACTTGGTTTTTTTTGTGGCTTTCTCTATGCCTGGGATCCTAAAGAAACAGAGATAGACAGACTGGATTTTTTTTTTCCTTGTTGTAAATGATTCCTCTGCCTATTCATGCAGAAGCCCCATTGAATTCAGTGGCTGTTGTGTCCAGGTGGATGAATTTGGCCCCTTCGGTCTGTTGTTTTGAAAAGCTGTAGCCATTCAATGGAGCATTTTTGGCAAGAGGGGTATCGCTGTCTAATGGGGTATGATGACTGTATCTTAACCATGATCCCTGGAGTCTTTACAACTGTATTTTAAATGCACCTGGAAGAACCTATATTTGTGGAGGCTGAATTAAATGTCCCCGTCCCTGCCAGTTGCTGAAATCTCATTATGAGGTTAAGGTGAACTATTTTCACTCTCTTCGGTACAGTTTCAAGAATGAATGGCCGTTCAAGAGATAACTCTTATGTGTTCAATTTTCCTGCTTTTGTAAAGAACATGTCCATGATCATGGTTGATTTAAGAACTGTATTTTAATGGAACACAGGTTAGTTAAATCTGATGTTTACCACTAGGTTGTGGTTTGCTTTCTCAGTCGAGTCAAAATTAGAACGCTAAAATTATTGTTGTTCTTATTTTGTTGGCAGACACTTGGGAATCGCAAGGGACCTCTGTTTTATGATGGTCTATTGGCTGGCATGTTAATTTTTTCCTTATTTGTCATATTTATTTTTTGTGCCACCCATTTTTTTATTTTTTGGGGTTCAAGGACCACAGAATGATGTCCATGAGATTTTTATTTCAGGCCATATGAAATTCAATACTGCAGGTTTTCTTAAAACTGCTCAAAATTTCATTTTGACATTTCGGCTATGAAAGAGAGTCTAAATTTCTCTTGAAGCAAATTGCAAGAATTGTGTTGCCGCCTGTAGAGAATAGGACTAATTTGGATGTTTGCTGACTTGTATTCAGATGTCCCTATAGTTTTCCTTAAAATTCTTTTTTTCTTTCACATAAGGAATATCTGAGGGTTTGTTTGTTTTCTTGATTGTTATCTTTTGCAAAACTTTAGAAGCAATTCTAGATAATCCTTTTTCATGACAGAGCAGTTCCCATATTGGAAAGGCAGAACTTTATAGAGTTGGTTATTTTTAAGGGCTGTGATTATTATTATATGAGTAAGGAAATTATGTTATTCTCAAAAGTTTTTCATCTGGGCAAAAAGTATTCAATTTAAATATATTTTAAAAAGCAGAAACATTGTATAACAACATAAACAGTAATATGTGTTTAGTTTTCAATGGAATTGTGCTCTTTTTGAATATGTACAGCCAAAATATAAATATTTTCTGGCAAAACCGTATTGTGCAAAATGTAGATTACCCTGTATTTTCAAAACATATTTTCCATATTTAGATTTGCTGACAATATATCACTGTCCCTTAAAATGTTTGTAAATATTTTGAAGTTTTATGTATGTTAACAAAATCAAAATGTTAAAATATTTAAGCATGAAAACTGGTCGTTCAATAGCTGAATAGCCATATGTGCACTTTTTTCTTCTATTAGGCTGGAAACCAGAAGAAATGGATAATTGGTGTAGTTTGGTCTAGTGTTGTGTAAATTTGAAAGGCCACTAAATGAATGGTTGTGAGTTGTACGGTCGTAATTTAAAGGGCCCAGTGAAAGCACCTGGACTCCGGAATAGCCTGTTGTGACATAATGTGACCACCAACTAAAACTCAGGGTAAGGGGTTCGGTAGTGGAATTTTGAGGAGTTTGGAGAACTGGCCAATCCCACCTCTGACTGGCCCTGCCCCATCTATTCTCTGCCTCCCATCGAGTCCCAGCTGATCGGCTGGGTCTTCTTTGGTTGCCCTGAACAGGAGAACAGAGCTGGAAAGCAGGTTAGTGCGGTGGGGAGGGAATGGGGATTTTACAGTATCCTTTCCTTGCCATGCCCACCAAGCCACGCCTACCACAGAACCGGTAGTAAATTTTTTTGAATCCCACCACCGTTGTGGGTGCAATATAGGAATGATAATGTCAGTCTACCCTACTATATTGTAAGGAGTCAGTAAGATAATCTAGAACTAAGTGCTGCGGAAGGCTTAAATTGCTCCCTTGATAGAAGCAGTAGACTAGCATTCTGATTGTGGCTTCTGTTCTGTTTCTTGCTCTCGGAAAATCTTCTCTAAATCTAACGATACGAAAATCTTATTTAAATCCATACGGCTTCCCTCCCTGCGCCAAGGTGTAAGTTTTGTTGGCCTTGCAGCAATTTATAAACAGGGTTGAACCCCACTCAGGAGTTGCTCATGTTATTAATCTCATCAAGCATACAGGTAGCCTTCAATTTACTACTAACTTGAACGGTTCATGTTACAACAGCACCGAAAGAAGTGACTTATGGCTGTTTTTCACACATACGACCATTGCAACATCCCCATAGTCGTATGATCAAAATTCAGATGATTGGCAACTAGTTCATATTTATGACGGTTGCAGCATCCCGGGATCACATGATCCCTTTTGTGATCTCCTCAATGGGAAGCCCTATCTTATTAACTTAACTGTGGTGATTCACTTAACCACTGTGGCAAGAAAGATCATAAAATGAGACAAAATTCACGTAACAAGCATCTTGCTTAACAGCAGAAATTTTGGGCTCAGTTGTTGGTTATAAGTTGAGTACTACCTCTAGTGTATTTCCATTCTGGCTTCTTGGAGTATGTGATGACCCGGAGCGTAACACAAACGTAACAAAATCCAAAATGTAAATAAATGTCCTTTAATGCCTCCAACTTGGCCTCGCTGTTCAATAATTCTCAGTTGGAGATAAAACTTACTCAAAAATAGTCTTTAAAAGAAAGCAATACAGTCCAAACTTAATGAACAGATAGAGGTGAAATAAAAAACCAAAACCAACTACAATGAAGAAATTTCCACAACGGACCAGGATAAGTAATTACCAAATTCAAGGAGATAATAAGGCATAGTCTGTTGGAAGGACGCCAACCAAAATAACTTCAGCCCCAAATAAAACACGCTGTGTTTTAACCGTCTCTCTTATATACTATTCTCCCCAGCTGCCACCAGTGAGGGGGATCATGGCCGCTTCCTCTCTCGTAAGCCAAGTTGTTGCCTTCTCCGTTCCTCCCTGCATGTCCCAGGATGCAGAGAGGATGGGCCTGGTTCTTCCTCTGACTGCCCAGCCGGCCTCTGCCCTTCCCCAGCCTCCTCCACCGCCTCCAGCTCCTCTCCGTCAGAGTCCGATTCTACCAAGGGCATGACAGAGTATCCCACCTTTTCACCTTATGATAAAAGGCAGCATTTCCTTTCCTCACAAAGAGCTGGATCCATATTTTGGCTATGAATTTACCACCAAATCATCTCACTCTTTAAAGCCTGGTGATCTTACCTTGAGCTGAAAGTTGAGTTTATTCCTGGAAATGCAAAACTTTCCAAGAAGATTTGTCTTTTTTTTAAGGTTGTAAGATCTACAGTTGAGAGCTCAGGCTTTGCTCCCCTGCCACACATTATTTAACAAGTAGGATTCATCAGGAGTTCACACTTGGCATAAATTGTGCATTGTTGACCCAGATCAGCTTTCTGTCAACCAGGCATACCTCATCTTCTGTTTTGGCTAAAGCCCCTATCTCAGCACTTAAATGTTACACAATCTGTTGGACAGGCATACTTCAAGCTGCATCCATTTGAAAATTGCTCGCTCCTTCCTTCCTTCCTTCCTTCCTTCCTTCCTTCCTTCCTTCCTTCCTTCCTTCCTTCCTTCTTCCTTCCTCCTTTCTCTCTTCCTTTCTCCCTTCCCCCTTCACTCCCTTCTTTCTTTCTACTTCCCCCTCCCTCCCTTCCTTTTTTCCTTCCTTCCTTCCCTCTTCCTCCTTCCCTCCCTCCCACCCACCTTTCTCCCTTCCTTCCTCTCTTTCCTCTTCCTCCCTCCATCCCTCTTTTCTACTTTCTTTCTACTTCCTCCCTCCCTTCCCTCTTTCTTTTTCCCTGCCTCCCACCTTCCTTCCTTCCTTCCTTCCT